AGTCTCCCTCCTCCTCCCCCTCCTCCTCCTTCTCCTCCTCCTCCTCCTCCTCCTCTTCCTCCTCCTGGTCCGTCCTCCCTTCTCCCTCCCCTCCTCCCTCCTCCTCCTCCTCCTCCTCCTCCTCCTCCTCCTCCTCCTCCTCCTCCTCCTCCTCCTCCTCCTCCTCCTCCTCCTCCTCCTCCTCCTCCTCCTCCTCCTCCCTCCTCCTCCTCCTCCTCCCTCCTCCTCCTCCTCCTCCTCCTCCTCCTCCTCCTCCTCCTCCCTCCTCCTCCTCCTCCTCCCCCCTTCCCCCCTCCTCCTCCCCCGCGTGCGGCACCCGACGATGGTTTCGGCTCGCCGGTGGCCGTGAGCTCCGACGGGGTCCAGGGGCGAACCGAAGCCTTCCCCAGGGCAAGAAGAGAAGCTCAGGAGGGAGGAGGAGGAGGAGGAGGAGGAGGAGGAGGAGGAGGAGGAGGAGGAGGAGGAGGGGGAGGAGGGGGAGGAAGAGGAGGCGGAGGAGGAGGAAGAGGAGGCGGAGGATGAGGAGAAGGCGGAGGAGGAGGCGGAGGAGGAGGAGGAGGAGGAGGCAGAAGAAGAGGAGGAGGAGGGAGAAGGGGAGAGAAGCTCAGGAGAGAGATGCAGGCACAGACACAGGTAAACGTCGATGCGCAATGCAAAAGCTGCTGGAAAATGCGGAAGTGGGGGGGAGCACGACAGTCCAACGAGTAGGGGGAAACATTTGAGAATCCTTGAAGTTGGGTCTCTTTATGTGTGTCTCCCTGGTCCCCTTGAGAAGCGGTAGCCCAGTTTCTGCCGTGGGGGAAGATCTGAAGAACACAAGTCGGCATAAACGTGATTTCTCGGAGGTGCGCGCAAATCTCTTGGATCGGCTTTGGGCCCCCCTGGCGGCGCCTCCCGCGCCGCTCCTGGCGCGCTCCGCGCGCCAGGTAATGTCAGCCAGCATAGTAAGGATGGGCAACCCTCCCCAGGGCACCCTTGCATCCTTGCCTCCTCGGTCCATCCTTCGCCACTTTCGTTGGCCGCGCCCCGCTCGAGAAGCTTCGAACAGGGCGTCCAAGGCCCTTGCATCCTGATCGCGCATCCTTATTATACTGGTTGACTGCAATGTCAGCTTGTGATAAATGAATGACGTCCCACCCCCCTATCCGAGGCTGATGAATCGACCCCGCGGGGCGCGAAACAATTGTTTCGATCACGCGCGCCAGGGTGTCGTCGCAGGCGCCGTCGACGGGATCGCACCCCCCCATGCACGGCAGCCTCGCATAGAAGTTGTTACAGGGATCGTAAACATCCGAGGCGAAGTTTTCCCCCTCAGGCTGATCACTGACGTGCCACAGTCGTCGTCAGCGTCGTCGTCGTGGTCCTCGTCGTCGCCGTCCGTCGTCCGTCGTCGTCGTCGTCGTCGGTCTTCGTCCTCGTCTTCGTCGTTTTCCTCGTCATCGTCGTCCACATCGGGCCTACGCAGCACACCCCCACTCCCATGGGGCATCCGCAGTGCGCCGCCGTCGTCGTCGTCGTCGTCGACGTCGTCGTCGTCGTCGTCGTTTGGCGTCGTCGTCGTTGTCGTCGTTGTCGTCATTGTAGCCCGTCGTCGACTACAGCGGGACTCGCAGCACAGCACCCCCTTCTGGGGCATCCGCAGTGCGTCGTCGCTCGCCGGTGTCGTCGTCGTCGTCGTAGGACATTGTAGTGGAGGGGGGGGGGACGGGGTGGAGAACGAAAAGGAGAAACCGAGTAGCCTTTGCCGCCTGCTTTTGCCGCTCGTCCCCCCCGTTCCCCAGTATAGTTCGCAGCCATGTCGGCACCGCCCGCAAGCTGAGGTGCCTCTTTTTGCCGCCTCCTCTTTCTCTGTTGTTTGTAGACATGTTGGGCCCCATCGCCCCGCTGTAGCGGAGGCGTTGCTGTCCCTCTCCGCTGAAGCAGTGCCGTTTGCGTCGCGCCTGTCGCCCTCCAGGTGTCGACCGAGTGTCGACGCTAATCACTGGCGCCGCTGTGGTGTGTTTCCATCTGGCGGGCGCACCCCCCGGATTCGCCCGAGCAGGGGAACCATGTTGTAATCATGCGCCTGGCTTGTTGTAACTACGATATGCATCACAAACTGACATCAGGGAGGGCCCAGTGCCGGTACAAGAAACCCGCGCGGACCGAAAATATGTTCATTGATTTTTGGCTTCGTCAAGAATGGTTCCTCAGGTGTTCCGCCACCTTCAGCCTCCCAGGGCCCCTTTTCCTGTGATCCCAGGACTGAAAATATGATTTTGGACGCCGGTCTCAGGGGGCAGACTTGGTGTCCAGGGCAAGTTGTTTTGTTTTCATGACTCTCCCCGTACTCCCTTTTCATATTGCGCAGTGGGCAGACCGCCCCTAGCAAGGAGCCTCCACCGACCATGAAGAAACCCCGAACCCAACAATATGTGAAACGATGAGTTCGCCCAGTATTGGAGCGAGCTTCCAGAGGCTTTGACAAACTTCGGGTGGACAGCCGTGGGAGGAAATTCGCATGGGGGGAATTGAGTAGAAAATATGTCAACACATGAACGGAAGAGGAGGCGGGTGCAAAGAAAATACAATGATCATTGATAATCCGCATGATGAGCGAACAGGGCACCGCACAGGATACATGTACGATCAAACGTTGTGTTCGATTCCCGTTTGTGGTCATGGGGTCCCGCTTGTGCGTTGTGCGCGAGGCTCCGCAGATTGATTCCCCCGTGGGGCCGTAGGGTCTCGCCGATGCCTTGGTTTCAGGGCGCCGCGGATGCAAAGCAGGGGCCGCACACGGGGGTGCGGCAACAGGGAAGCGGCCGTCCGCTCGTTGCGTGCGGGGCGCCGAAGACTCTCCGCTGCGGCCACAAGGCAAACATTTTGCGATCCACGCGAAGCGCCTCGGGTGTTTCGGTATGGCCAGGAGGAGCCCGCCCACGCATCCCGCGCGAGGCGCTTAAGATCTCTCGGTCGGGCAATTCCGTGGATATTTCGGTGCGGCCACGGGGTCCCGTCCTTGTGCTGCGTGCAGGGCGTGGCCGATTCGTCTCTGCTGCCATGGGGTCTCGCCCGCGCGTTCCACCCGGGGCGCCGCAGATGCTCCGGTGGCCACGGAGTCCCGCCCACCCCGTCCGTGCGAGGCGCCGCGGGTGTTTTTGTGCAGCCACGGGTCTCCGCCCGTCGGATGCTGAGCGCTGCGGTTTCTGCGTTGCGGCCGCAAGGCCTTGCCAATGCGTTTCGCGCGAAACGCCGTGGATAATGTCGCGCGGCCATCGGGTCCCGCCCACACGTTCCGTACCTCACCGACGCGAGGCGCCGCGGGCGCCTCGGTGGGGCTGTGGGGTCCTGCTCATCCGTTGTTTGCGAGGCGCCGTGAATTCGCCTGTGCGGCCAGAAACTGCCATGGCGAGAGGTTATGCGGTATGGTATGATGTTGGAATCTCATATCCCTCTGAAGATGCCAAACATGGACAGACGGCCTTTTGCGCTCACACGGAGAATTCTGAGTTCCTCTTATTTAATGATTCTATCGTCTCAGAACAGGATCGGGAATTGTTCTGCCCAGTGGGGCAGGGTGCGCGTCCGCGCGGAGCAAGTTCTATTCCGCCCATGCCGCCAGTGTTTAGTCACCTTGCACGCAGACCACATCATACCTTAATCACGAAAATGTAGGACCCCGCCCACGCGTTCCGTGCGAGGCGGTCCGTGCGAGGCGTCGCGCTCCCTCAAGTGTGGCCATAGGGTCCCGCCCAGGCGGTCCGTGCGATGCACCGCGGATTCGTCGGTGCGGCCATAGGGTCCCGCCCATGTATTCCGTGCGAGGCGCCGTGGATTTTTCGGTGCGGGCATCGCCACAGGGTCCCGCCCACGCGTTCCGCACGAGGAGACGCGATTTGTTTGGTGCGGCCATGGGGCCCATGCGTTCCATGCGATGTACCTAGGATTTGTCGGTGCGGCCGTAGGGTCCCGCCCTCGCGTTCCGTGCGAGGCGCCATGGATTTTCTGGTTCGGCCATCGCCACAGGGTCCCGCCCGTGTTTTGCGTACGAGGCGCCACGACCTGTTAGGTGTGGCCATGGAGCCCGTGCATTCCATGCGTTGCACCGCGGATCTGTCGGTGCGGCCATCGGGTCCTGCCTTCGCGTGCAGTGCGAGGAGTTGAAGGTTGTTCGGTCCAGCCGTCGCCACTGGGTCCCGCCCACACGTTCCGTACAACGAAGCAGTGTTGTTGGTGCGGCCATGGGGTCACGCCCATGCTTTGCGTGCGGAATGCCACGGATGCTTCGGTGCGGCTTGAGTGTCCCACACATACAGTACATTCCTCCAGGGGCTGTTCTGTTTTGATCTCCCACCGCCTCCACCCCACCCCACCCAAAAAACAACTCCAGGGGCTCCCAGGTGCCTCCCAGGTGCCTCCCAGAGGTTCCGGGCTTATTGCGCCTTGCGCCTAGCCACAATCACATTACAGGTGCCTCGAATGTGTTGCATGATTGGGAAATTATTCTGGAAGGTTCCATAGCTTGATACTTTGGCCATGTGGGCATGATGATAGTCGATCCAAGCAACTGAACAGGCGTTTCGTAAGAAGCGGGCCAATATGGTCGCGGATACAGATAAGTGTTGCACAGATAGTGCGGATGAGGACAGGTGGGCATCACCGGCGCGCTGGTATGAACGAGCTGCACACGGAGGGGGAGCGAGATGAGGGAGAGGAAGACGGAAGAGCCAGGAGAGGGGAGAGGGGAGCTCTGGAGGAGCAGAGCGCGGGAGGGGAGGAGGGGGGGAGGGGGGGGGAGGGCTGGGGAAGGGGAGGGCTGGCAGAGGAGGAGCTGGGAGGGGCAGAGGGGAGGGCTGGAGCAGAATGAGGGCAGGGGAGGGCAGGGAAGGGCAGAGGGGAGGGCTGGGGGAGGGAGGGGCAGGAAAGGGGGCCAGGGCTGGAGCCCCGGGTGGGGGCCGCGCGGGCGGGAGCCCTCCGCGCAGGGGGGGGGAGCCCTCCGCGCGGGGGGAGCTGCGGAGGCCGCCCTCGAGGGCCGCGCCGCCCGAGAAGCGGAGGGCGGGCCCGCTGCCGCCCACGTCGTGAGGCTTCGGCCGATCTCTCGGGGGACGCCAGCGATCCACCTATACGCTCGAGTCGGGCCCGTCCCTCTGCAGGAGGAAGACTCAGAAACGGGACGACTTGTTGTTCCTATGCTTGAGCATCTGTTTGTTGGGTATTCTTTCGAGTATTCTTTATTTTCCTTCCAAAATCCGCCTGTAGGGAGACATGCCCGACCTAAACCTACGCGCCGGTCGTTGAAAGTAGATCTTCTTGGGCCCCGGGCTCCCAATCTATCGCTAGCGCTCTCCTACTTCAAGAATCGGCAGAGTCTTGATGTGTTCGTTTACTCTCTGGGAAGGCCTGGAGCCAATCTGCGTTATCCGCCTTCCTACTTCGTGTTTTGACCTACTTCTTTAGTCGGGCGTGTCCCTCTACAGGAGGAAAATTCCAACATAGTCAAAGAATAGTCTGGGGCCGAATGTTCGATGATTGTTCGACTATGTTTGAGCATGTGTTGGCTACTTTTTTTCATTTTTCGCCCAATATTCGACTGCAGGAGGACATGCCCGACCGAATGCTTCCTGCGAGCGACGTGTACATCGATCCTGGTCAGGTCCATCCTTCCTGCGCCCAGGCTCGGCGCACGCGCTGGCCCCGGGCTCAGTGTGGGCCCGGGTCCCAGGTCGGCGTGCCCACCCGTCGTTGAAGGTAGGGTGGGGGCGTTGGCTGAGGAATGCGCCCAGGAGGCTGCAGGCTCTGGAGGATTCCTTACTTGATGAGGGCGGCGGTGATATCCATGGCCAGCCTTCGATTGGAGCTCCACCGGCCTCCAGACCCCGGATTTCTCATCTACGGGTTCCTTATCCAATGCCCCCACCGTGGGTATGTTGAGGAGTCCCAGATCCCAACCTACTTTTAGCGCCTTCCTGCTTCCATGGTCGAGTGGCCTCACCTTTTCCCTCCTCTTTAGAGGGCGGGCTGACACCCAATCTACTTTCAGCGCCTTCCTACTTCATGTTTCTGCCTACTTCTTCCGACCGACCATCCGCAATGTGTAGGTGTATGGTTGGCATCCTCCGACCTCTGCCTCCATCCCGGCGCACCAGAGACTGAGCGGCTCTCTGGCTCGCGCAAGCGCACCGCCGCCAGCGCCTCCCTGCACCCCCCCCCTCCTCTCGGGCGAGCGCAGCCGCGGACCAAGGGGCCGTGGATTAGCGACGGGCCCCGCTTACATGGGACATCGCGGAGCCCCGCCGCCGAGCGAGGCCGCGCCGGCCGCATGCTGGGGAGGGCACCTCCCCCGATCCGTGGATCTGGCGACCGCGCGCCCAGCCCCCGGGATCGCGACTCCGCGTCTGCGCGCGCCCCCGGCCCCCTCGGCGGAGCTGCCGGCTGCCGGGGCCCTAGGTCCCGCGGCGGGGGCGCTCCCCGGAGCGCGCGCACATCGCGGGCGGACAGAGGCCGCCAGGGCGGAGAAGGCGAGCTGCCCCGTGATCGGCTGCAGTCGGGCCTGTCCCTCTACCAGGGGGAGTATTCAGAAGTAGTCAAAAAATGGTCTGGGGACTATTTTCTGAGGTTTTTTGTTTTTCCATTTGGGTGTATTTTTTTAGTACTCGTTTTTTTCGTCGAAGAGCCCCCTGCAGCGGGACACGCCCGATTTTTGTTCGTCGAAAAGCCCCCTCTGCAGCGGGACACGCCCGACTTAATGATCGGCGGGGCGCTCCTGGCCGGGAGGGGGAGATCGCGAGCGCGCGAGACCGGAAGGCACGCGGCAGAGAGAGAGCGCGGTGGCAGGAGCCCGCTTCTGGATTGCCGGGCTGGGCCTACACGGAGTTTTGGGCGATTTCGTGGAGCCGCCGTCTAAGAAGGCCTCCTCATTCTCGTTCCCCCCCCCCTCAGCCACGCGCGGGGCAGGGGGGAGGGGGGAGGGGGCTTCTTAGAAGCACAACTGCTTCTTCGAAGGCGCCGTCCTCGTCTGCAGCTGTAAGGCCGGCGCCTTCTGAGAAGCAGCCTCCTAAGAAGCCTTCCCCCCTCCCCCTGCCCCGAGGGCTGGACCTAAACGGTGTTTTTGGCGATTTCGTGGGCCGTTCTCGTTTCGACTTCGTCTTGAGGTGAAGGCGGATTCGAGGCAAAAGCGAGGGAAGCCGAAAACGAAACGAAAACGAAAAGCACCGTTTAGGTTCAGCCCTGCTCTATTGATTGGGGCATGACGGGCGTCATCGTCGTGCACGCGGGCGCGGCTGTGCCGGAGCCGCACGGCGGAGGGGGGGGGGGGCGTTACGTCATACACGCCACCCCCCATGACGCCCGTCATCGCCGATGATAAAGAAACGCGCTGCCCGAGCGATCGCGAGACGGTGGGCGCCTCAGAGCAAAAACCGGCCTGCCGGCCACCGACGAAGAAACAACGCCAGAAGCATAAACTGCTGGCGCTCTGCGCGGATTTCTTGGATCCGCGCTGGGCCACTCCCGGCGGCGCCTCCAGCGCCGCACCTGGCGCGCTCCGCGCGCCAGGGAGAGGGGTCCGGCGCGGATCCCGGAAATCCGCGCGGAGCGCCAAAAGTTTATGTTCATAGCGTTTTTCCTCCTAAACCAGTGCCCTACGGACTCTGCTTGCTCCCCGTGGCGGAAGCGGCTCCTGAGGGAAACGGATCCTGAGATTTTTCGCTGTTTTGGGCTTCCCGGGGCCATCCACGAGCCCCGGGACTGCAAGAAAACGGCGCAGGAGCAAGATTCGGGGCTGGGGGAAGGCCCCAGGGTCCACGACCCACTTCCCCTGGGACCCGCTTCCCCCGTGCCATCATCCAGTGCCCGACGTTCCATCTTCCCGTTTGGACACAGGGGACCCACCGAAGCCTTGGGGCGCCTCTGGGAGGCCTCAGACCCAGACTCCCGACGTCGTGATTTTTTCAACGTCGACCTCCAGAGGCCTGGACCCTCTCCCCAGGACCGGTTTTTCATCCTGAGTTGTTTTTTGAAGGTCCCAAGGCCCGAGAAGGGACCCTGGAGGCCGAAAGTGGCGAAAAAACGCCCGTCGTGTTTTTTTTGCAGCGCGAGGAGGTCTGAGGAGGGAGAGGAGCGCCCCCAGATGTCTCGTCGCAGCACTCCGAATCGCACGCATCTGCCCCAGACCTCTGACGTCGCGACAAGAGTGCAGCGCCCCAGCCCCGTCTCCCTTGATGGGCCGATTTCCCACCAGGAGGAGGAGGATAAGAAGGAGGAGGAGGAGGAGGATAAGGAGGAGGAGGAGGATAACGAGGAGGAGGAGGACCGCCCCATCTTCCCTTCTCCCCCGTCCTGCCTGTGGCGGTGGCGGCGGCAGAATGGCCCATCCTCCCCGCAGCACCCCTCGAGCCCGCAGTGCCCGCGGGGCCCCCCGCCGGCCGGAGGCCGGGCGAGCAGCGGCCAGAGCGGGAAGGGGGGGGGGAGTACAATTAAGTCGGGCGTGTCCCCCTACAGGGGGATTTCCGACGAAAAAGAAAAAGTACCCAAAAAATATTCCAAAATGGTCAAAAATATCCACAAAAAAAATAGTCCAAAATGGTCAAACGTGTCAAAAAATACACGAACATATTCCAAAATGGTCATTATATAGAAAATAGTTTTAAAGAAAAAAAATGTTTTGACTATGTTTGAATATTCCCCCTGCAGAGGGACAGGCCCGACTTAAAAGTACAACAGACGAGTGAGCGACGGAAGAACACGGGCTCTTCGCCGACGCTGGCGCGCAAGCTGTCCGCGCATGGTCGCGCGTGGGCGCCCTCGCTTCCAGTGTAGCGTGCCGCGCTGGCGGCTTGCGCAAGCCGCCGCGCCAGGTCGTTGCGGTGTCCCGCGTGAGGCCCGCCCTTTTGGTCGGCGCCCGTCCAGATGTAGACATAAAGCACGTACGCATACACAGATAACCAGCACAGAGCTTACACGGATGATGTTCCCACCTATTTTAGCCTTGATTTCCAGAAAGAGTTCCGAGCACCAAAGGAGTAACGAAATTGGAGGGTTGTCCCGTGTCGGGCCCTGGGAGGCGATACTCGCTCAACACCGTTTCGACACTCTTCTGGGTGCTCGACAACGATTTCTGGGATGTGGTCTTCAAGTACGACGGGAGAGGGGGTAGGCGTTTGTGTTGCAGAGATGTGCATTTTCGCTTTGTCTGGACCGTTTTTTGAGACAGAATGGGCATAATTGAAATGTCACACCAAAACAAGCACGGGAACACACCAAATAACAAAAACAGACATAGCAACGGCCAGCAAAAAAAAAAAAAAGTCTGGATCTCGGCTCATGTTGCTCGCATCGTACTTACGGACCACATCCCAGAAAGAATTTCGAGCATTCAGACAAGTGTCGACACTTTGTCGAATTAGTATCGCCTCTCAGGGCCCCACATGTGAAAACCTTCCAGTTTCGATACTTCTCTGGTGCTCGAAATTCTTTCTGGTGATCGAGGCTAGAGTTGGTTGGAACATCATACAGGGAATGTTCATCTCGGAGGTTGATAGACCTCCTACCCCGACACGTCGATTCGCGAATTGGCCGTTTTCGGTTCGCGGGAGGGCGTCGCGGCCGTCACGGTTTGCGGGTCCAGGTCCGTCGGTTTCGGTTCTAGGCCGTTTTCACTAAAGGGTGGTTTAGTAAAGGGAGGTTTGTCCACCGCCGATTTTTAGAAGCACCTTGCTTCTCAGAAGGCGCGGGCCCTGTCTATCGATGTGAGAGGTCCGCGCCTTCTAGGAAGCAGCACGCAGGTGGGGGATAGGGGTCGGCTGGGCGATGCTCATCCAGGGGCGCCAGGCTTCTGTGAGAGAGAGAGCCTCACGCTGCCCTGCTGACGCCTGCCCCGCTCAAGGTTGCGCAGAGCGCGGGAGCCCCAGAGAGTCGGCGCACGCGGGCAGGGCCCCCCTTGTGTTGTCTAGAGGTCGTGGCCCCAAAGCGTCTGCCATCCAAGTGGTCCCTGATCGGAAATCCGCCGAGCCCGTCGGCGTGTGTGAGGGGCTTGGCCGTTCGAGTCGTCGTCCCCGTCAGTCGTTGTCTCCGTCGCCCCCCTTTCCCTGAACCCCTCCTCCTCAAGCTCGTCGGGAGCGGCCAAGAGGGGGGGGTGCAAATCATTGTCGGGGCTCATTCGGGGGCGGAAAAGAGGGGGTTGATGACTAGAGGGGGGCATATCATTGCGGGGGCCATAATATTTCCTCAGATGTCATGGCGCCTCTTCTCATTTTATTACGTCCCTGGCCCCCCCGCTGGGCCGCGCAAATGCCGCCGGTCATTATATGCACCCCCCCTCTTGGACACCCCCCTCTTGGCCGCTCCCGACTCATGAGACGGGGGTCAATGCAAACGGGGGTCAGCCAGAGCGCCAGATCTTGCAGAATCCTGCAGGGCCAGAGTCGCATTGACCGGGGCTTGGGTGCAGGATCTTGCAGGATCCTTCGCATTGGCCCGGGCTTGGGCGCAGGGTGTTGCAGGGTTCTGCAAGGTTTGACTGACCCAGGTCTGGATTGACCCGGGTCAGAAGATTCCCGACATCGCTTCGGTGGCTCAAAGATGGGGTCCTGAGGGATGGGGTCCTAAAGCACGAGGTGCCTCAAACAACGTAAATCCTCTCTTGGATCCCTTTCTATTCTCAGGCCACCATCCCTTAGGACCCCGTCTTTGGACCACCGATTGCCAGTTCTTCGCCCCGGGCCGCTGTTGGGGCATGGCCCCTGGCCCAAAACGGGCCTCCAAAGCCGGACTCCAAAGCCCTAAAGCTTAGATAGCAGATCACGGAATCTCCCGCTCGTCTTGAATTGAATGCGTATCGGCGAATAGCGCCAACTTGCGCCCAGTAGCGTTCAATGGCGCTTAATGGCACCCAACAGCACCCAATGGCGCCAGCTGTGCTTCATATGAGGCAGATGCATTTCGTCCGCTGTGCGCGCTCTTGGGCGCCACGGGGACGACTAAACGCTTCCGTGGAACTGCTCTCTGACTAAACTATATTTGGAAATATGCTACGGTCGCGGATTTTGACTTAGCGTGTCGCTCCGCAGTTCTGGTCTACCACGCTTCGACGCTAGCCACGTCCCAGTCATTAAGGGTCAATGTCACGAGTTTTCCGAACCTCCCGCCCCGCGGGGCGGAGCGACACGCTATCCGCTCGCAAGGCGTAGCGTGTCGCCAGGGCCGCCGCCGCGACACGCGAAAGCAAAAGTTTCCGACTGCACATTCACATCGGAGCCACGATGCGACAGCGCCACCCTCCAGGCACCTCGTGGTAGATGTATGCCTTCTGGAGGTTTGTTCGGGGGCCAATGGGCCGCGGGTGGGCTTGACTCATTGAGAAGGCAGTTGGGTCTGGCGCGAGAGCTCCACGGAGTGAAGACCAGGGCAATTTCGAACCTAACACGAACCCCTCCGAAGGTGCCCAGAAGCTGCACCGTTGGCGGGTCGTATGATCTCCTGGGGATTGTTCTTTGCCGATGCGGTCTCTCTTTCTGTCTCTCGGTCGCTTTTTTTTCCTCTCTCTCTCTCTCTCTATCCACCTTCCCTTTCTCCTTATCTTCCCCTCCTGGGGATGAGGGATGACAGGGCGTTCAGGGGAGGGCCTAATCAGTGTATTGAACGGACACCGACTGGAGACGCCATCAGAGTTGTCCGGAGAGAGCTGCCCTGATTCGATTAAGCGAACGCAATTATTCCAAGGTGTGCAGAAGTCGAGGTCGATGCAATAACACACACGCACACACACACACACACACACACGTTTCTCTCTGGGTGTATGCACCCCGTTGAAGCTCTGGTTTCATCTGGGCGGCCTCCATAAATCGTCAATGTTAACGATACTGGCGGGTGAACCAGATCGGAGTACTGAATGGGAAGCGACTCCGGAGGCGCCATCGGGATTGGCCCGGGCGTTGCGAAAACATCGCGGCGGCAAGTTATGTCGTCCGCTTGCCCGCGAAGGGCTGTCAACTAAATACCTGGACTTGGACAAAACAAATCGTTCTGGAAACGGGCAAGGACCCCCCGAAGGCCCGCGTCACGGGGAGCTCGAGGGCGAAATGGAAGGTCCCGGCCCCCCCTCTCTCGAGGAGGGCCTCGCTGTGTTGGTGCTCGCCCAGGTTGGTTCGGAACGCGAGCGTTGATGGGCCCATTCTCCACCACCACTACCAGATGTAGGAGAGAGAGAGAGAGAGAGAGAGCAGGAGGAGGAGGAGGAGGAGGAGGAGGAGGAGGAGGAGGAGGACCGCCTCACCCTCCCTTTCCCCCGACCTACATACGGTAGTGGTGGTGGAGAGTTTGCCCATCAAGCGTGATCCAGGTCCAAGGGCGTCCGCAGCAACTCGGAGCCGAGGGGTTTTCACGCACATCATGAACGGCTGAGCGGTTTGCTTCTTGCCGCCGCTCAAGCGGGCTGTCGCGCGACAGGTGAACTGGCACCAGGTGCCCTACGCCATTGACACGCTGGAGGCCGAGAGGATCGCAGGCCGTTTGCACGATCCGGGCACAAGGGCTCAGCCATTCTCGCCTCGCGGAGACTTGGGTAAGGGCAGGAGAGAGAGAGAGAGAGAGAGAGAGAGAAAGAGAGCGAAAGAAAGAAAGAGAGAGGAGGCCAAGGAGGAGGGCACGAAGGAGACATCGGCGACAGCAGCGACGACAACGGTGACGATTATGCTGCCCATTGTCGCAGAGGAGGGAAAGGGGAAGGCGAGAAGAAGGGCCCGATTTGTACATAGGATGCCCCCCCCCAACAATCATTAAGTCAAGGAGGGCAGTCTTCATTTGTTGGCCCAACACGTTCGCGTTCCAGTGGCTGCGCATGAAGGGCCGCTCACGGTGTCCCTGGCCTCGGCTGCCCTCTGCGTCTGACAGTTGGTGGTTGTCCACTCCTCCTCCTCCTCCTCCTCTTCCTCCTCCTCTTCTCCTCCTCCTCTTCTCCTCCTCCTCCTCCTCCTCCTCCTCCTCTTCCCCCTCCCCCTCCCGGATGCCCTCCTGTGTTGGGTTTCTGGTGATTGCACGCAGGGTCCCGCCTGGTTGGCCGCCCGAGGTGCCCATGTGTTGGTGGTTTCGGGTGGCTGCCCACAAGGCCCCAGCCTCAGGTGGCCACGCGTGTTTGATGTGTGGCGGTTGACCATTGGGCCCCAATCAAAGAGTCCCAGCCCGAGGTGCCCCTGCGTCGTCCGCAGCTTCCCGCCGGAAGTGTCTCAGCTTTCGCTGCCCTTCCGTGCAGGGTTGCCGGTGGTTGTCCAGCGCGTCCCGCCCAGCCTTGGTTGCCCCAGGGTGCCTGGAGACCGGCGTTTGCCCGCTCGGTCCCGCCCGCAGGGTCCGATTCCGGCCTGCTTTGTTTTTGGGATCCAGGCGACAGTATCACGTATGCCTTCCAGTGCCTCCCATTGTCGCGCGCATCTCATTATGAGCGCATGGCGGAACATTTGTGAAGCAAGATGGCTACGCGGCACGCGTAACAAATGCAGGGCAGGGGCAGGTATATCACAACCCTCGCAGCAGCTGAGAACGGCTATGTAGACTGCGTGTGCTCGTGTGTACACGCATGGTGGTGTCTCAGAGTGGTAAGCGCGTTATGCTCGATTGTTACATGTGCAGGATTCTTGGGGTCAGCAAGGACTTGGCGACAGAAAATGCAAGACCAGAGTTTTCTCATCGTTTGGATATTGAGGATGTTCTATGCCCTCGTTGCCCTGCTGCGGGTGTACGCGTGTGGTCGCACACGCTCGCTAATGCAGACTGCACAGCTTGGAATATGCGCAGTTTGCCGAAGCATTGGAGAGATATCCACACATACGAGTCGTTACTAAAGGTAAGTTCAGTCTTTTCTGTGTCGTCTGTACCCCTCACTCTTCCCAATATCTCATGCGTCCCGCAGTTAATCACGTGGCCAAGTCGGCGACGACTGCACGCGCTGGCCACTCATCGGACTTCACGCAGCACACAGGTGGATGGCACATATCTTGTTTTCTCTTCAGCCTTCGCGGCCTCGTCTATTTGTTCGTCTGTGTACCGCCCGCGCTTCCAAGAGCCCGACTGGTCCACGTTGCAAAGATGATACATGCTTTTTGTGGTTCTGCATGCGTTCTAATGTATAGAAGTTTCTTTCGAAGAATCCAAACGCAATGGCAACAAGCATAAGAGGCTTCGTGTCCAAGGAAGGCCTTGGCAAATCGGGCTGGCGGGTGGTGGGGACGTTCAGCAGGTTCATCCGTACGCAGACATATGGATGCGGATTTTCCCACGAGGGAAAACTGTTGAGAGTGTGACGTTGTGGTGCAAGAGCGCTGACTCATGCATACTTCTGATGTGAGCTAGCGTGGACCCCAAATAGTGCGTTATTGCACGATGGATGTGGAACATACGTGGTGAGATATATGCGGTGCAAATTCTGTGGTGCAACTTATGTAATGCAATCTATGTGGTGCCGAGCTGAGCTGATTTCAAACTAAGTGGCGCGAGATATGTGGCGAGAGATATGTGGCGCGATGAAGTTTGAGCGCCTTCGAGACGCAATCCCACCATCCCACACGCAACCTAGCTGGCAAAGCTCCACGACGTGCGAGCGCATGGGCCCGAGGCACAGACCGAGACCATCCTGCAGGGCGTGAAATGGCATGGAGACGATGGAGATGACGGCGGCGACCATGACGATGACGATGACGATGGTGACGACGGTAATGAACAATGGGACGAGGGCGGTGGTGTTGCAGGCGATGGTGATCGAAGAAGACAACCGCCATAGACGTAAGCTTTCGGCCCTCGGCGCGGTTTTCTCGGACCCGCGCTGGGCCCCCCACGCGGCGCCTCCAGCGCCGCCCCTGGCGCGCTCCGCGCGCCACGGAGAGGGTTCTAGCCCAGATGTAAAGAGTCCGCGCGGACCTCCGAAATTACCATGTATGCCGCTTCTTCTCCTTCTGAATGAACAATGGGACGAGGGCGATGGTGATGCAGACAATGGTGAGGACGTTGATGACGCGGTGTCGGTGGAGGTGACGATTATGTAATATTGATGATGGTCACGCTGACGGCGACGATATTGATGTTGATGGCGGTAGTGGTGGTGATGACAGCCGCGATGGTGGTGGTGATGGAGGTGATGGTGAAGATGGCGACGACGGCCATGACGACGGGAGCGATGATGATAACGATATGAGGTTTGAGGATGATGTGGAAGTGCGCACTCTGAGAAATTATCCCAGTGCGACCCTACCTAGAAGTTGGAGGCCCTAGGAAAACAGCATTAGTTGCTATGCTATGCTGCGCTGTGCTATGCTGTGCTGTGCTGCGCTATGCTATGCTGTGCTATGATATGCTATGAGATGCTGTGCTGCGTTACGCTATGCTACGCTATGCTATGCTGTGCTCTGCTATGCTAAAGCTCGGCGAAGCTAAGATGAAGGTAAGCTAAGCTAAGATAAACCTGAGCTAAGATGAAGCTAAGCTAATCTAATATGCAATAAGCTAAGCTAAGATGAGATAAGCAACGCTAAGCTAAGGACGTAACTGGGGAAACCGCGGGGCGGATGCCGGGGGAACCGCCCGGGGCGATGTCCACTGCCCGGCCCCTTTTAAGCCAATAGGGTAAGAACCCTTCTAGGCAGAGCCTAGGTAGGGATAAAGGTTTCTGACATGCGTGAATTTGAGAACAGACTTGGTGCCATGTCTCTTTGGACACCTCCGGGATGAAGCGAGTGAAGAATAAGTGGGGTGGAAGTGTGTCTCGGCGTGCGCGCGCGGAGAGACGAACGCCTGTGCCCCGCATGCGCTCCTTGCTGACGGAGTGGCAGAGACCCCAGGTCCCTGAGGATTCCAGCGACAGACTTTGTCTGCAGATCAGATGGGTTCTGCAAGTTGTTCCAGCTGCTCTGCTCATGTCGGGCGTGTCCCCCTACAGGGGGATGTTCGACGAAAAAAAAAATCAAAACATAATCAAAAAATAGTCTGGGGATCATTTTTTGAATAGTTCTGATCTTTTTGGAGCATTGGGGGTATTCTTCATTTTTCGTCGAAAATCCCCCTGTAGGGGGACAGGCCCGACTTAATGCTATGCTTCTGAATTGGTAAAAACCAACGGCGTTTGACCCATGTTGACATGCGCGCGCGGGAGCGCGCATGTGACCCGCACGGAGTTGTTCGATACCGACTGTAACAATGCGCACGTGCAAGGTCAGCGCATGTGCGCCGTTCCGCATGTGTTTGCAAGGTGCGAGGGGGGTGTCGACACCAGGTGGGTTGGCAGCCTGTTATTTCATGCGCAGGATAAACGATCGTGCAGAACGGATTTGAAAACGCAGTACGTGGAGGAGGTCGGATAACCCCAGCCTCGGTGGGGGGGGGTCGAGTTCCATGTTTTGGAAGGGAAAAGTGCCTCGCTCCCCTCCCGCCCCCTCTTCCAGGCGCTTCCTCTGCCCTGTCCCCCCCTCCTGCATGGCAGCTCGATTCGCTACGACGGCACCAACGTTTGGGCAGCTCTTCGCCCGCGCAGCTCCTCCGCCTGGCCGCCGACGCAGAAGCGCCTGGGGAACCACGGGCATCCACATCGCACCCCACGGGGGCGCCCGCGGACGCCCACCAGCCAAAACCTCGGCGGACCCCGCCCGCGCATATGGCCTGGCATCGCTCGGACGTGTGCATTTTTTTTTTCGGCGAGGACCATCGAGGAGCATCCTGGACCATCGAGCAGCAAACAACACGCACGAAACCCAAAAATGCACGGGAAATGGACGTCCGAGCGATGGCGAGTATGGGCGCCCACCAGGCGACACCTCGGCGGCCCCGGCCCGCGCACGGGCCGCCCGCGAGGCGCCCGCCGGGCAGACGGGCCCACCCCGCGCACGGGGCGCCCGCGCGGCGCCCGCGAGCGCTCGCCAAGGCGACGCACGGGGCGCCCACGGAGGCGCCCGCGGCCGCCCGCCGGGCGAAGCCCCAGCGGGCTTACGAGAGGATCGACCGGCAGAGGCAGGAGCCTCGGAGCTTGGCCTCGCTCGGACGTGTGCATCCTCCTCCTCCTCCTCCTCCTCCTCCTCCTCCTCCTCCTCCTCCTCCCCCTCCTCCTCCTCCTCCTCGGGGTCCTCCGCGACCAGCGGCAGCACGTCCTCGACGCTCCCCAGCGGCACCCTCGGCGGCCACGCGCGCGCCGCCCACGCGGCGAGGACCATCGAGGAGCATCCCTGATCATGTGGCGAGAAGACCACGCACGAAACCGACAAAAAGAACACAGGGAATGGGCGTCCGAGCGGGGGCCAGCGAGGGCAAGCACGGCTGGGGAGCCCAGCACACGGCTCTCGCACCGCCGCCTCCTTCCGCCGCAAACTGGATTGTGCGCGTTGGTAAGCCCCGGCCCGAGACATCCGCAGCGCGCGCTCGTGCCCCTGACATGGGCCCCTGGCCTATCTCGTTTCTGTGTGGACGTCTTCTAGAATTTGCTTTTCTCCGTTGGTTGTGATCTAGATTCCCGGCACTAGAGATGCGCTGTTGGAGCTTTTGCTGCCCGTCAGAACTCCGAGGGCTCCCACACACCGAGCTTGAGGCAGCACAGTCGGATTTGCACGCTCGACCCTCCGCGTTCACATTCAATTCAGTGCGAGCAGTCCGAATACACTGAGACATCGCAAAGTGCCATCCTTCTTTGTGTCGCCTACACGTTGCAACCCGCTTCGCGTAAATTGTGCTTTGCACGTTCCGAACTGTTCAAGTTGTTCAAAGCCTGAGCTCTGTGGAAGTTGAAAGAGACGCAACGTTGGGGACGATGCCACACGTGGTGGATTCTGTGAAACCACCTCGAGAGTGTGCGCTGCATTGATTTGCCTGTGGGCGCACGCAATGTACTTTGAACGTGGCACACGTGCACTGGTTCCTGCATGGGGTCCTCAACGTAGCAGATGCATTATGTATTGATCTCGTGCGCCCGTCGAATGCAAAATCATGTTCATCATATCTAAATGACAATCGCTGTGAGTAGCACCTCTCGCTATAAGTTAGCCTGTGCATGTGCGAAGTAGAATCGGCCAGCGCACACCGCCTGGGAGCGATTACCAGCGACACCGATTGTAGCTGATCATTCAGATGCTCGTATTGAGGATCGGCGAGAGCGTTGGCCTTTATGAAAGGCCAGACTCCCCTTCTTTATCTGGCCAGCCCGATTACAGGGAGAGTTCGTTTATGCCGCATTGGATACAGTACGTCTTGCTGTGATCGCGGTATGCGTCCAAAGCTTTTTCCCGAAGTGCTTCAGCATGGCAATGTGACTTACGAACAAGAGTGTTCCACAAGCTGGCTATGCCGAACCAGTCCCTACTACTTTCGTGGCTTGGTTGCAAGCGCTTCCCCCTGAATCCGGATTCCCTCAGGACCCCCCTCGCATTTCGTTGAGGATGCTCCACAGAGCTAATTCGGTGCTGTAGAATTCGCTTCGTGCCCCCTCCACGTTGTCCTCGTCCGCAGGCTGTTTTCGATAACCACGCGTACGAGTAGTAGCGTGTTTGCCCGTCGCGTCGGAGCACACGCATTGGCGCTGTATTGCGCTACGAAGGATGATCTGTCACGCTCAGGGTTGACCGAAAATTTAAATTGCCGTCCTCATGCTTCTCGCCCTCCTTGTTCCTTTCTCCCTCTCCTGCCCGAGTCTTGGTCCAGTGCTGGTCATGCTCAATACCCTTTGTGGTACATTGCGCCTCGAAGTGAAAGTTGCAATGGCAGTATAGCCCGTTCCGCTGACCCTGAGAAGAAGGCGGAAGGGGGATGGGGGGGGAGAGGGGCTGTGGCGGCTTTCATGCGAGGTTGAAGATCTAAAGGTCGTGGGCCCATCCCGCAGCTGCACCTGGATCGTGTTCCAGAGGCCGTTGGGATATTCGGAGGGCTTCTTAGGGAGCTCCTGAGGGCCTCTGTAGCCCACGTGGGTGCGTCTTGGGGCCTCGTGGGACCCCTTATGAGTGTCTTACGGGTACTGGGACCATGGAGGAGTTGGCTTCAGGCGGTGCGACAGTGGCGTGTTTGGGGTGTCTTGTCGAAGCCGTCGCAGTGGCCTCTTCTAGGCCCATGTTGGGCTGGCCTTTGGGGGGTTCTTGGGCCGTCTTTGGCGCTCTTGCGACCCGAAGCGGCGAGGGTGGGAAACCTCACCGAGCCCCACGGGATTCCGCAGATTCGGGCCCCTTGGGCCGGCCCGCAGAAGTCTCCGATACGGTCCGCGAGACCCCCAGGAGTGCAGAGAGATCGGCCCCGATGGGGCTTTCGCGGGCCCAGGTGGTCCAGAGACAGCCGACTTGTCCCCAAGGATGGCCCGAGTCGCCACTCCACTGAGAGGGGCCAGAGAGGCGCACCTTCCCCCCCTGGGACCCTCCCGTGGGAGCCCACTGGGAGCCCTTCCCCCAGGACACCCCCTCGGCGGGAGAGGGATCAAAGGGAAGGGGCTTCCCTTCGACTCGGTTACGAATTGGGTCCGTTCACCTTGGGCTGGCGAGCTCCCCTGGACGACCGCCGACTCCTCCCCACACACGCAGACAGAGTCGGTGGATCCGTTTGGACAAAGGTGGCATATGATTCAAGAAGCTTACGCCATCCCGCGGACCCGCCAGACGAGGATACATGAGGATATAGGCCTCGCAAAATAATAGCGAACACACATGCCATGTTCATCTGTCAACGCCTCCCCCCAAATGTTCAAAGTTGGCGGTGGGTCTGATGAGATGCACCTCGACCGCAGTCTCCCCGGCGCGTGCCAGTTGTTAGTTTTGGGGGGAGGGGGAGTGTTCAGTAACTGTTTCCTTCTACCGTATGTCCGGCTTCCAACTCAGTATGTATTGTGTGCCGCTTTCCGTCGTGTTGCCTGCGTGCAGTTGTTGTTGATGCGTCATCCTCGTCCTCCGCATCTGTTGCACGGCCCTCTCGCGAGCCACTTGGAGGAGGCCTAGCGGGCGGCCCCTAGGAGCCTTTTCACGAGTCATGGGGGCTTGTGGGGGGGCATTTGAGGCCTTCGGGCGGCATGTCGGGGGTCTTGGGGGGCATTTTGTGTGGGGCGGGGGGGGGGGGGTGCTCCTGGGGTCTCTGTGAGTTCCCCCTCTTCGGCCTCTCTTGGACCACTCTTGGGGGCCCTCCGTAGGGCACGGTTGGCCGTCTTGGGGAGCTCCTCGGCCGCCTTGGGGCCCCCTGGGGCCGTCTCCGGGCCCTCTCGGGGGCCTCTTGGGCCATCTTGGGCCAACATGTGGGGCGTCTCGGGCCGCCTTGGATTCTCAGAAGCCCGAAATGGCGAGAACACGAAAATTGGTCAAGCACTGGATGAAAATCAATTGCGCCTGCCTCTTGGGACCCTCTTAGGGGGTTCTCTTGGAGCCCTCCTTGGGCAGTCTTGAGGCCATCTTGAGCGCTTTTGAAGCCATCTGGGCATGTCGGTGCCCTTCATGAGCCGTCTTGGAAAGCATCTTGGGCGTCTTGGGTGACGGAGGCTGGATTTGGAGGCTCCAGAGGCCTCGGGGGTTACGTTGAGAAGCTCGTCCCCACACGGGGGAGGGGGGGCGTCCCTCAAACGACGTGTTCGGCCCTGGGGGAGGGGACAGCCGAATGTTCCACCCGCCTTCTCACCCCCGGCAAGCAGGGGTCGGCGGATTTCTGGCCTGCGCGGTTAGCGTACTGATCGCTTGCGCTTGCGTACATCTAGCCTGGCATGGACGTGCAATTACCACGTGTATGCTCTACTTGTGTGCGGACTTCAGCTTGTGACTAAGTATGTTCTCCAGCTTGTTGTCAACAGTAAATAGGTTGACCTTCAATGTGATGGTTGCGCGAATTGTGATTACCACGTATGTGTCTGGGCCTCGGTTGTCTTTGGCTCGTTCGCAAGCTGCCCTTAGCTTTCGTGTAGAGTATGTTTCGGTTGCGCCGGCTTGCATGTATATCGCAGAGGCTTTGCGGGCCAGTGTTGTTGACCATGAAAGGGGATCAGGGGGAGTGCGCCAGGAAAGTCGCGGTCTCGTAGAGGCTTGTTGAGGGAGGGTGAAGAGGGTGGAGCGACAGGAAGAAGGGCACGAGGAGTGAGGAGGAAGAGACGGGCATGAAGAAGGAAGGAAGGAAAGAAGGAAGGAGAGGACCTCCCAGGTGGCCTTGCCAACTCGGTGGTGATGCTGAGCGGCCGCGTCAGGCAGCAGCCTTCTCTGAACCATCGCGCGCACATCGGTTATCTTGCAAGCTTGGTCGGTCCCATAATTATCGCAACGTGTCTTTACGTTAAGTGCAGGCTGGGGCTCGGAATGCTAAGAGCAGGGTGCGAAAAGGAATGTGTCAAAGAGGTACACCACACCAGACATCTAAAGCCGATCGAAAGCATTGAGACATGATGCCAAGCCGAAGTTTGCTTCTGAGGATACGAACAACCTCCAAGTCTGGTTGAGGCCCATCTCTAGTTCCTGCGCTTGCGTAGTCCTTCATGGGAGCCTCAGAGGGTCCCAAAATTCCTTGCGGCGTGGGGGATTTCTTCTGGAATTCGTTGCGCGTGGTCGACAGTTGGACGAGATCTGGTCGAAATCTGCACGACATTTTTCGACATCTTAACGAAATCTGGACGAAATCCGGCCGATATCACGTTTATGATGGGGTCGCGGAGGTCCAGAGATGCCCACATGAAGGCTCACCCAGTTGCGCGCACGACACTTCGAACGTAGCCCAACCCAGGGCCAGGCGGCACCACATTCTCAGAGGCATTTGTGGCTTTGACACTCCGAGTGGTATGTGCTTGCGCTTCACGTGGTGCAGCGATATCTGTTGATACCTCGGGCCTTTCAATGTTCGTTCGCCGTACAGCACCCATGAAGCGAGATTGTCCCTGACACGCGCGAACAGGAACGATTCGGCTCACAAACGTCCCCAGCTCCCACGCAAGTTCACGTTCGCACGTCAAGCGTTGCATGCCATAAGGAAGGCGAGGGCTTGCAGCGCGTTCAGGAGGTGTCGGACCGCAGCGCGTCCCTGACGTCACGGAGTCCGCAAGAATGGCTGCCAATTGTCTCGCAAACGGCCCTTCTTCCTGGTCCTCGTCCTCATCATCATCTGCATCTGCCGCTGCGTGTTATTGCTTGCGCCCCCCCTCCCCGCGTCAGGCGGAGAGGGCCCACTGGTCACGAGATCGAACGCGCCATGCAGCGTTCACGATGTGGTACGGAGGAGCGTTGCGAGCTTCAGCGTGACCTTGTCCCTGGCGCGCGTCCCAGCGCAGTCTGTCGCCGACTGTGTGTTACCCTTCTGTCGCGCCCTTCTCGCCATCCTTCTGCTCGTGGCGAGACAGGCGCCACAGGAGTGGCGACGCGTTGCGCTTCTGGGCTCCACGGGCGTTCTTCATACAGCCAGCGGCCATCGAACGCCCTTCTTTGGGGGCGATCGCGCTTCTAAAAGGGCGTCGGCCACTTTGTGCTAGTACGATTGTCTTCTGCAGTGCGCTGCCTATTCCGAGAGCACTTCGCTGATTGGCCTAGCCCCGCGTAACGCAGTTATTGTCGGTAGAAGAGCACCCTGAGCTGACTTTCATCGATGGGCGTTGTCCATCAGGCACTGGCCAGATCTTGGTAAGAGCAGGCAAGCACAATGTCACCTGATTTGAAGGTATGAGCACGTTGCCGACGCGTTCATACCCCATGTAGTCGATGGTGCTGCCTTCCCATGACATGTTCCGCCGCCTTCCAGGGAACTCTTGGACTACATGAAGGACGTGAAGGAGGGGCGCGCCCCAAAGAATCACGAGGTGTTGCGGGAGATGCTGTCCATATGTCAGGAGTTCAGCCGCCCGCACCCACACCCAATTCCCGAGCTTCGGTTCGTGCCTGTTGATTGCCCGATGCATGCAGTACCACTTGCCCGCGTACACCACTTGTTTCGGTGATGTAGACATGGAACCCGGGATGGCGCAAAAAGGACACCGATTGGACAAGTATGAGTGGTGTATGAGTCGGAGGTCAAGGGTGACAGCTGGCATTAGTAAAAGCACGCCGATGGCTTGCTGTGTCGTGGTCTGTGCGCAGCCCACTTTTGGACGAACGTCTCAAGCAGTGATCGCCGACCATGCGATAGATCTGGTTTCGCCCGATGGCACGCGCACGGTCGACACCGCAGTAGGCTTGGCGATCGAGGGTTTGAGCAGCCTGCTGCACGGTAAAACAGTCGGTGGCGTGGCCGGCCAAACGCAGATACCACACTATGTATGTGGGTGCCCGTGCTGTCTCCCGATTCGTGCCGCTCCTATTCCAGGTCCTCGTCTTCGCCTTCATTCATAACTTCGCCCTCGTTCCACTTCTCCACGCCCCCTTCCCCCTTGCTGTAACCGCATGGTCGTGCCTCTCCCTCCCCTCCCTCACCCGCGGCTCTCCTCCCCTCCAGTGTCGCTCATCTTGCCCGTGCTTCTCCTCCTTCTCACAGTCCCCGTGCCCCCCCCCCCCCTCCCCCCGCCACCGCCTCCCCCCCTCCCCACCTCGCACCAGCCCCGTCGGAAGCTCTCCCACACCAGGGTGATGCGACGGAGGGATTGCGCTCGGTATGGCCTGCTAAGCCAAAGGAGGGAGGGGGCCTGCCTAGGGGCTTCAAGGAGGTGCGCGTCGAGATGGTAGCAAGCCCTGCTGCAGGATGGAGATCTTGAAGGGAGCTTCCCAAGATGGACTCCCTCCTGCGCCAGCCCTTCCCGCGTCCCTCCCTCCCTCCTCCTGCTCCTACTCCTCGTCCTCTCCTGCTCCTGCCCCTCGTCCTCCGTCGCCAGCTCCTGTCTTGTCGCCCTGGTCTTCGCCCTCCTCCTGCGCAGCATGCGCTCGTTTGGCTTCCCCTGCAGCGCCGCTCCAGAAGCCTGCTCGGAACTCCCTGTGCCTCTCGACTCGCTTCTTGTTGCGCTGACAGGGAACAGGCTGTCTTCAACCCCTACTCCTTATGATGGTCCAACCTACCTTAGCCTCGATCACCAGAACGAATTCCGAGCACCGAGAGAGCACCGAAACTGGAGTGATTTCACGGGTCGGGCCCTGGGAGGCGACATTCGTTCGACACCGTTTCGATATTTTCGTGGGGGGCTCGAAAGTATGTGTGGGATGTGGCTCTTAAGTAAGCTTGGAGCAGCATAACCCTACTCGCGCTCCCCACGGCCCCGTCACCCCCACTATGATCGCACCGAGAGGCGTGCACCCCCCCCCCCCCTGGCTGCAGCGCGCCTCGAGGCGCTTCAGGCGTCCCAGCCCGACGCGCTGCGCAAGGAGTTCTGCGGGGAGTTCAACGACGCCACACTGGCGGCTCGCGCAAACACACACTTGCTGCCACAGTAGGGACAGGTCATGGGAGGCGGAGCAACCATTGTGACCCAGCCTGGGGCAGCGCTGGCAGGTCCCGTGCAAGCGATTGCGACAGCGGCTCAACGCATCGAGATGCGTAAGAGCGAGCGGGTTCCAACTTGAGTCGTTGTCATGGATCAGAGTATGTGCAGTAGTAGTTAGACCGTTGTTGGTCACATTGCGGTGGCCATCACGAGCACCCTTCCCCCTCAACAGGGCTGCTGAAGAACTCGGCGGCTGATGTTGGCTGGCGATCCCCGTTTCCCAGCGGCGTAGTTCTTTATTTTCTCTCAGGTCATCTTGCAGCAGTTCCCATGCTGTTTGGCTTTACCATTCGTGTGCCGGGGACGGCCATATCTTTGATTATGTGCTATACAGTCCACGACAGAGAAGCTTGAATCCAAAAGAAATGTGTCATGCCATTTGGGGTAGTCCGATGCTCGAAACAGCTTGCTACCCGGCGGCAACTGTGGTAGTAGGACAGAGTCTCGGTTGTGCGAACGCGGATCCCCTTTACGGCGATTCAAGCAAGACCGAAACATCCCCGAAGCAAGCGCATTCTGGTCACTGATGACGGGCGAGAGTGTCTAGGCCAGTCCAATGTATTCTCAACGTGTTGAGTGTTGCACGGATCAGTGCTGGTTCTGCACACGCGTGTAATCATCAAGGGTCAACTCTTCACTACATTCTCATTGTGCTACACATGGATTGTGTGACGCCCTCACACCGTGCGCCGAAGTTGCACGCAGCTTTGGCATTTGGACCAAGTGTCCTTGTTTGATGACGTACTGTCCTGCATCAGACAGTTCTCGTTCAATGCGCGAACGTTTTGGTCGCCACATTGTAATGAGTAACACATAGCTGTGAAGTTTAATACAAGATATCCTGTGACTGTTTCCCCCAATGCGTGCGCAACAACCATCTTCGCATCATGTCTCAATGTAGTATTGTGACGCGCGGTTTGAACACATGTGTTCGGCGAGCAACACATTAGTTGCAAGACGCTCGCATCCTGGAAGCACAGAAACCACGCGCGAGCTACGCGTGTAACTCTCGTATGTGCCAAGCGCTTGCGCAAAGCATGACGCACCTCCACACACACACACACAATACGCCGCACTACTACCACTGTCCGGCCGCTCGTTTGCTCAGCAGATAGCAGTTGTTCTTGATGGATGGCCTTGCCTGGGCAAGACGATTCCCAAAACAGCGCTTGCACTTAGGGGTTCTTGCTTGCGTTCTACGGCAACTGGTCGGGTCGGGCGAAAGGGGGGGATTGGGAAAGGGGTGGTTACGAAATTTGCTGCATGCAGCTGGTTTCGGCCCCACCGAGGGGCCCATTCCTCGATACATGGGCGCCTCCGGCGCCAGGAGGCGCCGGGAAAATCAGCCACGCGAGCTGATTCTCAAACCCCCCCTTTGCTATCCCCCCCTTTCGCCCGGCCCGAACTGGGCCCCGGTGGCGGTTCGGCCGGCTCGGCGGTGTGTGCGTCGCCCCCCCGGGGGCGATGCGCGCACCGAGAAATCTTTTAGTATATGCGTCGTGGCGGGCGGTTTCTGGCCACGCCGCTCGGGAAACGATATACTACAAGATGGGTATACTATATGTTTGGGTCGGACGCGCGCCTCCAAGGAGAACATATAGTACTAGTATGTTTTTCTGCGTCCCATTAGGGGTTCTTGGTTGCGTCCTACGGTAACTGGGCCCCGGTGGCGGTTCGGGCGGCTCGTCGCCACCCGTCGCCGCCCGTCGCCGTGGGGCCCTAGTGGCGGTCCGACCTGCTCGTCGCCGCCCGTCGCCGCGTTTGTTTGCATTGTTTCGCATTGTTTCCCATTGTTTCGCCTCCTCCTCCCCTCCTCCTCCTCCTCCTCCTCCTCCTCCTCCTCCTCCTCCTCCTCCTCCTCCTCCTCCTCCTCCTCCTCCTTCTTCCCTCCTGCTGAAGCCTCCCTCCTCCTCCTTCCCCTCCTCCTCCTCCTCCTCCTCCTCCTCCTCCTCCTCCTCCTCCTCCTCCTCCTCCTCCTACTTCCCCCCTCCCCCTCCCCATGGGGTCGTCGTCGCCCTCCCCGCTGCCTTGAGTTGCTCTGCGCCGCATCGATTGAACGACATGGATTGCACCACCTAGGTTGGACTGTATTGACTCTCCTTTCTAAAAAGAGAATAGACTCTACCCCCCCCGGACTTATCAGCTTCCCCTGGGATAGTATAATTTCATATATATATATACATATATATATAATATTATATATATATATATATAATATATATTCTGCACACTCGTCCATCCTAAATATGAAATCATATCATCCCAGCCAGGCCGGGTTCCCCCCCCTGAGGTTCCCTTGTAAAAACCACTATGCGGTGACATTTTTTTGTTGTAACATAGCACTTGTTCACGAATCCCTTGCAAAAAATGAGACGAAGTGCACACGCGCGCGTCGTCGCGCGCGCGCATGCCGAAATCCTTCAAAAACCTTCGGTGCCGGAAGGATTTCGCAATCGAGTTTCCAAAAAACATACAAAAACACAGGGTTTCGCAACATTGATTTGCCAAAAAAGCTTCCGCGCGAGCTCTTGCGAAATCTTAAGAAAACCATAGGTGTTTCAAGATTTTCACAAAATGCTACCAAACGGGCTTCGCGCGCGCGCATGTCGAAATCTGTCGAACGCCCTTGCGCGTGTGCCGTCGCGAGAATCCTCTGCAGAAAATGGGACGAAGTGCAGACGCGCGCGTCGTCGCGGGCGTATGCCGAAAACCTTCAAAACCCATCGGTTTCGGAAGGATTTCAAAATCGTGCGTCCAAAAAACCTACAAAAACCTAAGGTTTCGCAACACGGATTTTCAACAAAAGCGTGCGCGCGCGCTCTTGCGTCGTCGTCGTCGTCGCCGTCCTCCCTCCTCCCGCGTCGTCGTCGTCGTCGTCGCCTACGTCGTCCTCTGTCTTTTCTCGTGTTCGTCGTCGTCGTCCTCTTTGGCGTCGTGGTCGTTTCCGTCGTCGTTGTCGCCGTGGTCGTCCGTCCTCCTCTCCCACGTCGTCGTCGTCGTCCGTCGTCGGCGTCTCGTCGTCGGTTCTAACTCGTCACCGTCGTCGTCGTCGTTGTCGTCGTTGTCTTCCCTCCTCCCTCGTCGTTGTCGTCGTCGGCGTCCCGGCCCTTCCTCCTTCGTCGTCGTTCGCGTCGTCGCCGTCCTCCCTCCTCCCTCGTCGTTGTCGGCGTTGTCGCCGTCGTCGTCCTTCCTCCTCCCTCGTCGTCGCCTTCGTTGGCGTCGTCGTCGTCGTCGTCTTCGTCGTCGTCGGCGTCGGCGTCGTTGTCGTCGTCGAAGTCGTCGGAGACGTCGTCGGTGTCGTCGTCGTCGTTGTCGTCGGTGTCGTCGTAGTCGGTCTTAAGAGGTTTTGCAAACCAAGTTGCGGGTGGGAGGGTGGGATGTTTGCGCGAGCAGTGGAGAGGACAGCTTCAAGTTGAGCAAGTGATTAATTGCACCACCTAGACTGCACCGCACATTTTGCAAAACAAATTGTGTGGGGTCCACGCTGGCGCGCATTCTTCGCACGTCAGCTTAGCTGGGTTGTGCATGGTTGTGCCAGTCGCTACGTGTTGCGAAGGCCTTACGGCCGGTGCCGCCGACCCTGAGGGTGGACGACGAAGATGTCGACGGCGACGACGTCGCTCGCGACCCCTCGTAGGGTCCCTTGTGGGCCCTGTTGGCCTCGGGACACCCCCCAGGACCCCACCCGGGACCGCCCCCAGCGATCCCTTCCCGGGACCGCCCCCCCCCTACGTGGAAGGGATCAAGTGGCTTCCCTTCAACTCGATTCGTGTTCCTCCTCTTGCGACTTGGTCGGAGAGGGCCGTCTTGGTCCGTCTTGGTCGGAGAGGGTGGAGTTCGCGACCCCCAGGACCTCCCTCCCCCCAGCGCGGGGAAGGGGTCAAAGGGAAGAGGTTTCCCTTTGAGTTGATTGCGACGCTGCTCGGTTTCCGTCTGGCTGGGTCGTTTGAGGAGGAGGGCCCAGGGAAAGGGGAGATTGGTGACGGCGACCCAAGCAGAAAAACGTCTCTCTCTCTCTCTCTCTCACACACACACACACACACACACACGCCGACATGATCGGCGGTTCTTCGGAACCCGGAGATCTATGTGGGGCCCTCTCGGGTTTCTCCTGGAATGCTCCTGGGGCCCTCACGGCCCCCTCGTTGGGCACCCTGGTCAGGCCGCCAAGGCCCCCATCGAAGGACGAAGGAGCGAGCGGGCCAAGGCCTTTGAGAAAGACGCGGTTCGGGACCCCCGCCTCGACCCGCACCCCCCCTTCCCTGACCCTCCAGCTAGCTTCGGCCCAGTGCCGGCTGCAGTCGCCGCCGCAGTCCGCGATCTCCGACCCGGGCCCGTGGCTGCTCCTGCGCGGCGCGGGGGCCCCCCGTGCGGGGAACCGCTCCCGACGTGGGCCACTGCGGGCGAGGGTGCACCGGGGGCCGCCTGAAGTCGGGCCTGTCCTCTTGGCACCGCTCGGACGTGTGCACTTTTCCTTCGGCGAGGACCATCGAGGAGCATTCCTGATCCTTTGGCGAAGAAGCCACGCACGAAGCCGAAAAAAGCACAGGGAATGGACGTCCGAGCGATGGCCTGCAGTCCTCTGTAGGCCCCGAAAACGGCAGGGCCGTTTTTTCACCGTTTCCCCAAAAATGCCCTTTGAAAGTGGGCATGGCAAAAAAACGGCGACCGGAAACGGCAAAAAAACGACTCCAGGATTGGAACCGGAGCCGGAACCGGTCAGAAAACGGCGACGGAACCGATAAAAAAACGGCGTCGGAACCGGCAAACAAACGGCAAAACGGAACCGGAAAAAAAAACGCCCTGTCGTTTCCAGGGCCCACTAAGGGCTTGTCCCTGTGCAGATGGAATATATTCAAAAATAATCCGACAAAAAATCAGAGGGGTGACTTGTTTTGGTACTATGTTTGAATATTTGGTGATTTTTTAAAAGCTCTCCATCCAAAATCCGCCTGTGGAGGGGGGGGCACGCCCGACCGAAGGGTCGCCCCTTCGCGAATGTGCCCTTGGCGTTGGGGCAGAGGGAACCCCACCCTGGGCGACGCACGCACGGGGGTGGCAGGAGGTGGGGGGGGAGCCCTCTGCGAGCAGGCGGCGCGCTGCTCACAAGGCGGGGGCCTTCTTGGAAGGGCCCGGAAGTTTCAGGGAAGGCTTCTCCAGAAGCCGGGAGGGCCTCCACGGGGCCCCCTCCCTTCTCAGAGGGCCCCCCCCGCCTTCTTGGGAGGCGACCCCCCTCGCGCGACTCCCTCGCGCGCGCCGCCAACCCCCAGGACACTCGACGGGATCTGGAGGGGCTGCTTCAGAGGAGTCGCCCCACCCATCCCCACTCACACCCAGACTCCAGTCTGGCCTGTCCATCTACAGGAAGAATAGTCAAAAATAGTCTGGGGAAGATTTTTTCGGTATGTTTGACAATTTTTGAATATTTGCTGACCATTTCTATTGTTCGCCCAAAATCCGCCTGCAGGGGGACATGCCCGACCTAAACCCAGACGCAGCGCAGCCGAGGGCACCCTTGGGGAAAGGGCACCCTTGCGTTGAGCCGATGAATCGTTCCAAGCCGTCTCGCGTGTTGCTTGCGGTGTCGTGTCGATTGGCCGCCACTCGATTTTCGCATGTCGTCTCATGGAGATCCCGAAAGACCTCCCCCAGACCCCGCCCGGTCAGTGCCGCCGCCAGGTGGTGCTTATGGCCACGCTGACGAAGGCCTGCGCAAGTACATCAGACCTCCTGGACAAGTTCAGCCCCAGGGGTCGCGTGAAGTCTAGTGAAGTCATCTCCCTCTGATCTCTGCTATCCTCCCTCCCCGCCGTTCCTGTGTATGGGAGGGCAGGGAAATGTGGTGGGCGCTGGCGTAGAAAAATTACCCTAGACTTGCCCGACCCCGTTTGCACGTGAGGCGACTATTAATTCGACCGCTTGACGTAAGATAACAGATTTCGACATGTGCAACAGTCGGGAAGGCGAGACAATGCCGGGCCACGCACGTCGCACGTGGCACGCCTGCGCAACATAGAACGGGGGACAAATGCGGAGGAGGAGGAGAAGGAGGAAAATCAGGAGGAGGAAGGTGGGGAGGAGGGCAAGGAGGATTACGAGGGAAAAGGGAGAAACACGGGTGAGAATAATAGCGCCATGCGTTACACTTGTTCGGTACGCCCGCGCTGCCGCTGCAGGCGACAGGCGCCTGAGGAGGGGGGGGGGCCACGGAGAACAGCGCCATGCGTCACGTGACGCTCCAGCGCCTTGCGCTGTGTGATGTAACAGCGCCGCGTGCTGCCTGAAGTCTGCCACCAAATCGATTAGCGACGTTCCCTTGGGTATGTGTGTGTGTGCGCGTGCCCCCCAACTCCGCTGGACTCCCCAGGAACTTACGAAACTGGTATCACTTGCACAGTTCGCAGTTTCCCGTGGAGCAGCGACGTCCCGTTAGGAGCCCACGAAAGTGGTGACATATGCGCAGTTCGCGACCGTCCAGGGAGCAGCGAGACTCCCGTCTGGGTGCGCGTGGCCCCCGATCCCGTTTGACCTCGCGGGAACCCACCAAAGTGGCGACACTTGCGCATCGCAGCCACCCACGGAGCAGCGAGATCTTGTCTGGGCGCGCGTGGCCCCCGACCCCCGACTCCGCCGAACTTCCCAAGAGCAAACGAAACAGCTGCGCAGGAGCCCAAGAAAGTCGTGACAGTTGCAAACTCGCAGCCACACAGGGGACAGCGAGGTACCGTCTGGGTGCGCATGGCCCCCGACTACGTTGAACCCCACACGAAACAACGAAAGTGGTGATGGTTGCGAAAGTAGCAGCCACCCAGGGAGCAGCGAAATTCCCGTCTGGGTGCGTGTGGCCCCCGATTCCGCTTGACCCCCACGGCGACCACGAAAGTGGTGACAGTGGCGCAATTCCCAGCCACCCTGGGAGCAGCGAGATCCCCTTGCACGGGCCCGATTCGGCGGAACCGCCCACGAACCCACGAAAATGGTGACACTTGCACTTCACAGCTACCCAGGGATCTGCGAGATTCCCGTCTGGGCGCGCGTGCCCCCCAACCCCGCCGGACACCCCAGGAGCCCACGAAAGTGGTGACAGTTGCGCAATTCGCAGCCACCTAGGGAACAGCGAGGTAGGTACTCTCTGGGCGCGCGTGGCCCCCGACTGCGTTGAGCCCCCAGAAGCCGACCAAAGTGATGACAGTTGCGCAGTTCGCAGCCATCCGGGGAGCAGCGAGATTCCCGTCTGGGTGTGTGGCCGCCGATTCCATTTGATCTCTCAGGAACCCACGAAAGTGGTTACATTTGCGCAGTTCGCAGCCATCCGGGGAGCAGCGGGGTTCCCGTCTGGGTGTACGGCCGCCGATTCCATTTGATCTCTCAGGAACCCACGAAAGTGGCTACAGTTGCGCAGTTCGCAGCCATCCAGGGAGCAGAAAGACTCCCGTCTAGGTGCGCGCGGCCCCCGACTCACCACCCAGGAGCCCACGAAACTGGTAATTGTTGCCCAGTTCGCAGCCACCCATGGAGCAGCGAGGTCCCGTCTGTGTGCGCGTGGCCCCCGACCCCGCTGGATCCCCCAGGGGATCGCGAAAGTGGTGACACCTGCGCAGCTCGCAGCCATCCAGGGAGCTGCGAGGTCCCGTGTCTGGGTGCGCGTGGCCCCCGATACCGTTGGATAGATCCCAGGACTCAGCGAAAGTGATGACAGTTGCACAATTCGCAACCACCCAGGGAACAGCGAGGTACCGTCTGGGTGCGCGTGGCCCCCGACTACGTTGAACCCCCCAGGAACCCACAAAAATGATGACACTTGCGCATTTCGCGCAGCCACCCAGGGAACAACGAGATTCCCAGCAGGGTGCGTGTGGACCCCGACCGATTCCGTTTGACATCCAAGGAACCAACGAAAATGGCGACACGTACATAATCCGCAGCCGCCCTTGGAACACCGAGATTCCCGTGTGGGCACGCGTGCCCCCCACTTCCGCCTGACCTCCCAGGAGCCCACGAAAGTGGTGACAGTTGCATAATGCGCAACCGCCCACGGAGCAGGAAGAGGAGAGGAGGAGTGGAAACCATTGTGCTCTACAGAACGCGAACCCAATTACTCCGACGGTAGGACCCCATATGAAAATATGTTTAATTTGCTTGGGGATATCCTCCTGCTCCTGTTTTTTTCCCACCAGCTCCTGCCGCCTCCTCCTCCTCCTCCTCCTCCTCCTCCTCCTCCTCCTCCTCCTCCTGCTTCTCTTCCCTTCCTCCCTCTCTCCTCCCTCC